AAAATCGACATTCTTCTAACTTCTCATCATCTCCCCAGTAAATCATGCAGTTGTCGATGCAAACGTCTATCATTTCCGAGGGCAACCCAAGACTATATACCAATTTCTGAATCTCATAATAAGATTCAGCAGACACATTGTCTTCTGGCAAATACTCTTTAAACAAGTCTGCCCATGCATCCATACAATTTCAGGTAGATTGTGATCGGTTTTAATACTCATCATTCTAGCAGCCAACGACAATTTAGACAGACCTTCTCTACAACCACTGTAAATTGGCTCATTTGCAGCTTCTAACATTTCATAAAACTTTTTTGCATCTAAGTTAGGTTCTTCAACTTCATCATCATCATGAGGTACAAATGCATCACCTACCATATCATGAACCCTATCACAATCTACCATTTGTTCCTCCTGGTGATGATAGCTATTTTCATTACGCAAATGATCAACCGGTTCAACCTGAAAATTGCTATTGCTACTACTACTGCTAGCTTCATTCTACAACTAGCATCTTCTCCATGTTGATACCAAATATAATAATATAGCATGAAACCTCTATTTATTAAATGCTTCCAAACATTTTCACGAAGGCCTAATTTTGTATTGCAGAATTTCCGACAAGAACATAACATCTTACCACTTTCCTGAGTGAGTGGTGTAGAATCTGCTTGATGCATAAACGTCTCCAACCCTTCGAGAAATTCTTTCGTCACTCTCTCGTTATTATCTATGTGTGAATACATCCACTTCCGCAACTCGAAAATATTTCCAGGACCAGACATCTTTTTTTCTTTGATCAAAGCTTATAGCTGATTTTTTTTGGTGTGTTTGAAATAAATTACAAATGATGGTATTTATAGAAATTTTTGAATCTGAACATTTACTAGGAAGTAGTTAGGAAAGGTAGGTACAACACACATTTTAGATTTAAAATAGATATTTTCCTCGTTAATTTGAAATAAAAGAAGATTTCCTCCTAATTTCGTAGTAATGTTTTACTAGGACTTTACGAGGAAACGTTGTATTACGAAATTACGAGGAATTCTTCTTTTGCCGCATAGTTTCCTCGTAATATTACTACGGTCTTACGAGGAAACAGTTTTCTCGTAGGTTCACGAGGACTTTACGAGGATTATTGTTTTCGTCGTAAAACCAAAGTAATCTCGTAGTAAATTTACGAGGAAATATTTTCCTTATAAAATTTTCTAGTAAACTCTTAGTTTTCTTGTAGTGTCCTCATCATCCCTTCCCAACTTACTTGTATACTTATTTAGTAATACTCCTTTCACCAATGCTTCCCAAATCTGAACTGAATAAACACACTCAAAGAAGAGATGCTCAAGCGTTTCCATCAGTTCATTGCAGAGGACACAAGATACATTTACCATCCCTTTCCAAAATCTCATACGATCTCCAGTTGCTAATCTCCCTTTCATTGCTGTTCACAAGATAAAATAATACTTTAGAGTAGCATATTTGAACCAAACTTCGTTATGCCAGTGACAAAGTTGATGTTTTTCCCTAATAACTTGCTAAGTCTCTCCCGATGAAAAATGATCTCTTATATTGACTCTTCCCATTCAACCACAAAGACACATCCTCCTCTTGAGTACTAATTGCTTTAATGTCAGAGTTATCAAGTTTTATTAGTTCACATATATTTTACATGATTGTTAAAAGTTTGTTAGAATTTCCATTTGTTTAGTTTATTGATTAATATTCTTAGACAATTTAGTCTGGTTTAAAATAATATATAATATTTGATAATTTAAGTATATTTTCTTGTTGCTTTCAAATAATATGTGAACATTCTTACTGATTTATAGCATCATCTTATATATAGTATATGTTATTTGTAAATATTTTCAATAGCATATAACCTAAAGTTTGTAAATCACATGTCTTAAAAATTATATTGTTATAATGTTTGAAACTCTTGCATTTTAAAATAAATAATTACTTTAATTAATTTTATGTTAATTTTCGAAAATTTATATTAAATAAACTTATATATTATGTTTTTATTTTTGTAAGTTTACCATATTTGATATTAATTTATAAATTTTCTTTTGAAATAATGATTTTTGGTAATATTGACATTTTTTAAAAAGATCAAATAAAAATGATGATTTATCATAATATAGTTGGTGATTTTAATCTTATGAGTATACTTTCAATGGTTTACGTCTTCAACTTTTTAATTCTAAAATAAATCTTTTATTTACATTTGGATATTATTATTCTCAAATTTTAACTTCAACGGTTTGAAAAAAAGCATAAACATATTTTTTGTAATCTTATTTCTTTTGATTTGGTTTAACCTTTAAATTTAATTTTATTTAAATTTTAATAAAGTAAAATTACATTTTAAAAAATAATTTTAATAATAATCGATTATATTCTATTTTATGATGATTTCTTTTAAATATTTCTCGTATCATCTAGCTTTAAATAAATATATATATACACATTTAAATATATAAATTTAAATATAATATTTGAAATTTTGGTTGTTTTAGTTAAATATGTTAATAGCGAAAATTAATTGTTTAATTAACCTGATGAAAAATAAATTTTAGTAATTTAAACTACCAAATAAATATATGATTGATGTTGCTTTTTTTGTTGTATTTGTTGATGCATACTTACAGTCTATTTTGGTAAAATGTATGTTTTTATAAATATCTGATATATAAGTTTCAGTAAAAACTTATATTTGCAGTTATATTTAGCTTTTTTTATTAGTGTAATATATATATATATTTAATAGTTATATATGAGTTATTAATATATTATAAAAGCTTAACAAAAGAAAATCTTTATATAGAAATCAATACTATTAAAAGAAAAGGAGTCCTAAAATATTTACCTATATAAGTTGTTTGGATCCTTTCATTTAATTGCTTATTTTTGGTCTTACTTTAAATTTATTTAACTATATAAAATTTAATACATTTAACTAATCCTAAAAGATTTTAATTAATATTCCACTAAGTTACCGTTATTTATTACTCGAGTACACATTTATAAATTATCTTTTGGACATACACTAAGTAGATCAAAGATTAATTCATATGTATAAATCCAATATACTAACATATCATCATCTCTAAACATGTTTCATGATGTATCCTAATATACCAAAATTATATATGTTGTTCCTTTTATTGAATTGTGGTTCTCAAAATCAAAAAGTTCCAAAAGTATATAATATAACATGCAAGATTTAATTTGGGTATTCGAATATATGTTTTAGTATCTACGAAACTTTAAGATTCGAAAAAATAAAAATACCCAAAATAGATTTTAAAACTCAAATATCTACAAATATTCAAATACCCAATTTGTTTTCCCAAAAACTGATATGAGGACTCAAAACTACCAAAATATTTACCCAAATTATATTTTTTTAAATATAAAATTTACCTTAAAATCGAAACAATAACTGTAAACTCTAAAACCAAAACATAAAAAGTATTTGTAATACCTAAAATAAAATATAATAATCTAATATAACATATATATCCAAGAAATTTGAGGAATTTCAAATATCTGATGGGATATCAGGTAGGATACATATCCAAAATAAGACCTATAGGTGAAATTTTTATCTAATAGGTATTATAGACCAGACTTGACTGAACCGAATCTGTAATTTTTGGTATGTTCTGATTCAGGTTTTGTAGGAGTAAAATCCTCAAGCATATGAAAAACTAACATGTATTTATATCTTTTTAATATATAATATTAAAAGAGAATCATTTTAAAAAATCTACTTATGCAAGGTTGTTGCATTCTTTCATTGGGTTTTTCGTATCTAAACATTTGGACATAGGTACGACTTTGAAATTTTCTGATTCGGATTCGGGTCGATTTTTTGGGAGTCAAGGTCCATAATTCAAATACCTATAAAAGACCTATAATTTTTGGGTACGTAATGGGTCCAAATTGGTTCGTCCAAATTGGTTCGAGATTTTAGGACTAAAAAATACCTGAAGTACCCAAAAACCTAAAAATAATAAAACCCAAAAAATCCAAAAATACAAATAAGTACCTACAAAATATTTAAATTCCTAAAAAACCAAAATATTACTATAAATATGACCTAAGGAACCTAAATACCTAAAAACATTTTCTCATACCCAAAATATATATTTTTAAAATTTTTTTTTGAAATTATACCCAAAACTATAATCTTAAATCTGGATCCGAAACTTAAAAAGAAAAATCATAATACTGAAAACACATTTGAAATTTCGAATACATATCTAAAATATCCAAATATACCTAATATACACAAACATTTAAGGTACTTAGGATATCCAATTGGATCTCGGGTAGGATCCGCAATCAACCACTGACCGCAGGTCAAAGAAAAAATCAAATATGAACTTTTCCCTAAACTCAGACCCAAACAATAGTGAATTTTGTTGTAGTTTTATGGATCCGGTAAAATGTCAAGACCTAAAAGAGTTATATAAGAATGTACATACAAATTTTTTTATAAACTAATTCTTAACTTATATAATTTTTAAACAAGGACTCTTCTTCGATATAATGACTGTGACATAAAAATGATTTTCTTTATAATCTAAAGAAAAAACTCTCTTTTTTGAAGCGCAGATCAAAATTTAGTTTACATTAGAGATCTTACCAAAACCATCTTCCCAAAAGTATAAATTTTTATAAGGAAAGTTATACATGTCACAATTAATTTACAGCCGTGTAATATTTTTCTGCAAGTCACATGTCAATTCACAATAATGTGTAGGAGATAGATTATTATTGAGATTTAACTCTCAAAATAAGAAATTCGCTAGTCGGGATAAAGCCACATGTCTTTACATACTGGATCCAACATTGTAAACATAGCCCATAGGAAACAAATTAAGCCCAATTCACCAGAAGTAAATAAAAATAATGAAAGTAACTGCTGAAAATAAAGGTAGCAGCTCACACGAGAAGAAAAGGGTTTCCTTCGCCGTGGTGAGAGAGAAATGGAGGCGGAGAAGATGGAGCTGAAGCTTTACAACACGATGACTCAACAGAAGGAAGTTTTCATTCCGATCACTCCTGGAAAAGTTGGGTTGTACGTCTGTGGAATCACAGCTTACGATTTCAGCCACATCGGCCATGCACGCGCCGCCGTTTCTTTCGACGTTCTCTACAGGTGTCTATCTTCTCAATTAAGGGGAAATCTTTTAGATCGTTGGATAAGAAAGCTTGAATCTTAGATCAGAGATTGTAATTGGTTATGCAGATACTTGAAGCATTTGGGCTATGAAGTTAATTTCGTCAGAAATTTCACAGATGTTGATGACAAGGTATTCTCTTTTTTTTTAATTAAAAGAATCTTATTTTCTTTACTCCATTCAATGCAATTGTGAACTTTTGTCTAACCATGTGAAGGCTAACCATCTCTGTAGATAATCATACGTGCTAACGAGAATGGAGAGAAACCGTTAGAGTTGAGTAATCGCTTTTGCGAGGAGTATTTAGTTGATATGGGTGCTCTTCAATGCCTCCTTCCCACCCACCAGCCACGTGTCAGCGACCATATGGATCACATAATAGACATGATCAAAACGGTATGTTTTATGTATTGATAAGAGGGCTCACTCACATATGTTGGTTGAAAGATGAGATACAAGAGGAAGTTGGAGTTCGCAGTTTAATTTGTATGATTATGATTTTGCTGTTATAGATCATTGCGAAAGATTGTGGGTATGCTGTGGAAGGCGATGTGTTCTTCTCTGTCGACAAGTCACCAAACTATGGTAGGTTGTCGGGTCAGCTGCTGGAACATACAAGAGCTGGTGAGAGAGTTGCGGTTGATTCTAGAAAGCGTAACCCTGCTGATTTTGCATTATGGAAGGTTTGATATTTGAAATCGTGTTAACTTTCACATCTCTCTGAGTCAGCAAAAATTGAGGCTTGGAGTTTCTGATGAAATGTGGATATTTTGGCAGGCTGCAAAACCTAATGAGCCGAGTTGGGACAGCCCGTGGGGTCTGGGAAGACCGGGATGGCACATCGAGTGCAGTGCCATGAGTGCTCATTATCTTTCTCCAAGATTCGACATTCATGGTGGTGGTGCAGATTTGAAATTCCCACACCATGAAAATGAGCTTGCTCAGACATGTGCTGCATGTGAGGATGGTGGTGTGAATTACTGGTTGCATAATGGGCATGTCACTATCAATAACGAGAAGATGGCAAAATCAAAGAAAAACTTCAAAACAATCAGAGAAGTATGTATTTTTTTATATATTTCTTTCAAATATAATTAGTTGTTGAATGTGTGCTTATGGCTTAAACGCAGAATTGCTTACAGGTTTTGATCTCTTTCTTTTTCATGTAGATGACAGAAAGTTACCATCCATTGGCTCTGAGGCACTTCTTAATGAGTGCACAGTACCGGTCTCCTCTGAGTTTCTCAGCGTCACAGCTAGACAGTTCCTCAGAAGCTTTGTATTATGTTTATCAGGTGCAGTGCTTTCAAAACTATCTTTTTAAAACTACTCAGCAGTTTGATTAGCCTCTCTTCGGTTGTAATGATTTATATTTTATTATATCTCTAACTTGTGATCTTTGTTTATTAGACATTGCAAGATCTTGATGATGCTCTCTTGCCATATCGAGAAGCAATGTCTGAAGACTCCGGAAAGTCTGAACATACTGCAGAAGCCAAAGACATCATTAACAAGCTCAAAAGTGAGTTTGAAGGAAAGATGTTAGACGATTTGAACACTGCCCATATATTAACTGGTGCTTATCAAGATGCATTGAAATTCATCAACGCTTCCATCGGCAAGCTCAAGGTATTCTGCTTGACTGTACTTTCTTTGTGTGGCTCTTGACTTTCATAATCATGGCATACCAAACTTGTCTGGCTTTGTCAAATTGTCAGAAAATGCAGAAGAAACAGAGGATGTCCCTGCTTGTGTCACTCGTTGAGATTGAGAAAGCAGCCAGGGAAGTTCTTGATGTACTTGGTTTACTCACTACCCTGAGCTATGCCGAGATTTTGAAAGAAATGAAACAGAAAACATTAACAAGAGCAGGATTGAGCGAAGAAGACATTTCACAGAAAATAGAAGAAAGGATAATGGCGCGGAAGAACAAAGAGTTTGAGAAAAGTGATCAGATTAGAGCAGAGCTGACAGTTAAAGGAATAGCATTAATGGATATTGGCAAAGAAACTGTGTGGAGGCCATGTTTCCCTCTTCAGGCTAGTTCCAGTGATTAAGCAAAAGAACAGAGAGATGGAGCCAAGTCAACACTTTCGTCATCTCTCATTCTTCTTCTTTAGTCTTTGTTTAAGGCTCTCTCTTTATTACTCTGTTTCTGGAGTTGTCCCAGTGACTCCTAATAGACACTTGCAGTTTTTGTTTGTATCTGAATATTCATCACAGTGACCTTTTTATCAAGTGTAACGATATGTTACTTTGGATATTACTCTACATCAGTGACAAACACTATCCCTACATCTTTCTTTTCTCAAGTTCATCTAAAAGTCATGTAATCACCAATATAACTCCATATCTGGTTTCACGTATAAGAGTAAGAGAAGGAAACAAAATCACTCTGTTCACATTGCTGATATGGATTTATTCTTCTTGAATAAGGCATAAGCGTCACTGTAAATGGCGATTGCATTGGAGAAAACAGCAAGAACAATCGCGAAAATGGCTAGAGACTTGTGCCTCTTTGTAGCTCGGTTATGACGATACCTGTAAAAGCACACAAGAGATACATTCAGATCATATATAGGTTCCTTTTTTTATTGTGCACCGATCATATATAGGTTCCAAAGCCAATCTCTTATGAAGCAAATGGACTTACTTTAAGACAACAGCAGCAAGGAATATGAAACCGATGCAGACAGAAGCTGTAGCTCCAGTGAACTGGAAAGCATCCCAAATGCTTGGAATGATGTTGCTCCAACAAAGATGACAACAATGAGACCGGCAGTGATATACCAAATCTCAGCTTAGAGGTAGTAAGCGATGGAGCCTTTGGGAATAAGTACTAGGATAAGTCTTAATATTTAGATAACCATGCATTAAGTCCTAATCCTTATTGAGATAGGACAATTTTCTTGTATACTCAGCGTTGGCTATTCTAATTGACAACACAAACTAATATCTTACATGATTTCATGGTATCAGAGCAAAAGATCCTAAAACCCTATTTTTCTAAATATCGTGATTCTTGACTATCAAAAAATATGGCTGATATGACATCATCGTCGTCCATTACGTCTGCAACTACTCTACCTATTTCTAATGATTCGTTAGGATTATACTAGTTTCGTGGTCCATCTAATCTTTTCATTGTTGAATTGTGCAAGAGTGTGGATTCACCAGATTTACTAGCTATTATGTCACCGCTGCGTTTCCATCACATTACGCCGTCTCAAACATTAACGGTTCTTGGCAGAGTCAACTGCACTCAAGAAAAGAAATTGAGAAAGGACAGTTCGCGCCTTCACTGCCATGTGCTCTCAGTTCAACAACTCGTAGGAACACTCCGAAGTCTTGTTCAAGGAGACTCAACCGTACTGAAACACGTACCCGACATTTGCTCAAACATGACCAACCAAAGCGAGGGTGATGATAATATGATTAGGTATATCCCGGTTACAAACTAATGGCTTCGACACGGTAATATTGAAGTCCAAGGTTTTGACCCGATTAAACCAATCTGTCAATCATCCAACTCCTTTGTCCGAAACTTCCTTATGAAGGTTAAGCTAACTTTTGAGGTTCACCTAGTCTCGTTGAGAAGCTTTGTTGAGTTTAGAACTAATCGTGCCAACTTCAGTGTCAAATTAAGTCAGATATGACTTCTTCTTTTCGGTGTTGTCCAAGGTCGTGGAGCTTCTCACCAAAATCTCTTGCCAGGCAACAATCCAACCGGTTCATATTGGTGTATCAACGTCGATTTTGACTATCACTTGTTCTTGTGAACAATGGCCTTAGGGATTAAGGTGAAACTTCTTCATGGGGTTCTTCATCTTGATGAGCTTGACTCGCCTCTTATAGGCTTTATGTTTCTTACTGCTTTCTACTTTTGTTGTACCGTCGAGCATGCCTCCGGAATCTTTTACTTCAGCTGTAAACTCTAATGCTCTTTGAGCTCTCGAATTTAAGTTTGTGTTACAAGAAAAAAAAGACAATCCTGGAGCTTTGATTACATATGTCTTGCTCTGTGGAGATAACTATATGGAATGGACTAGTGAACTTTCTAATTCATTCAAGAAAAGTTGGGTTTCATTATTGGAAGGATTCAGAAACCTTCAACAAAACCAGACCTATCTCGGTGGCAAGCTACAAATTCGATGTTGGTCGGCTGGATTCGAACGTCGATCGATCAGAAGATCATATCAACTGCACCTTTGTCCCTGATGCTCATAAACTTTTGGAAAATCTTCAACGTCGATTTTAAGTAAAAAATGGCATACGGATTCATCAACTCCGTGATGAAATAAATACATGTCAGCATAATGAATAGACATTAATTGAGTACTAGGATAAGACCTGCGCCTTGCGCAGGGTGAATATATGTAATTAAAATATAAAATTTAAGTATTGACAAATTTAAAATTTACATATGATTGTTTTTGTATGTATTTGAAATTTAAGAATTTTGAAATTTTTATATAATTATCTATACGTAGGATCAGAAACAATTTAAATGTAGATCAAATCTTAGAATTTAATGGATCTGATTTCATATATCTTTTCGCTTTTCAGTGTTCGAGTGATGGAAAATAAATTGAGTGTCACTGGGCTTGATTGGTAGAGTATTGGGAAGTTCCCTAATGTTTTTTAAAAAGCAATTGGTAAAATATTTGCATTTAAAATATATAAAGTTTCAAAACTAATTTAATATAATTTATTTATCTGTATAATAATATTAGAAAATTATATTTTTTACAAATTATTATTTTTAAAATAATTTATAAAACATTATGTTAAATTTTAAATTATTTTAAAAACAATATTTTAAGTTTTTCAATTACAAATAAACAATTTAAAATTAATTATGGTCATGATTTAACATAACCATAATGATTTAAGAAATTAAAAAATTAACAAATTAACAAATTAACAAATTAAAACTTAACTCAGTTTTATATCATGATTTAACAATTTAAAAAATCAATTATGGTTATGAGAAGTTTACGTTCACGTGTTAGTCCTATTTATTTTCCATTTTTCTCTTGCTATGTTTTTTTTTATATTTTAGTTATTACTGGATAAAAATATTTATTTTGAATTTTATTAAAATTCTCATTTCGTTTGTTTTAGAAAATACTGAAGATTTAAAATAATTAAAGAGATACATATTTAGGTTAAGATCTGCACTTTATGCACAATAAGTATTTTATATTTATTATTTATTTTATATTTTTCTGCATATTATAAATACTAAAATAATAAATCTATATTAAATAACTAAGAAATCAGTTACTATTATGTAATAAATTGGCGTATGCATATACATTTAACTATTACTCTTGTTTATTCACAATTAGGGTAAATAAATCAAAATAATCAATCTTATATATTGTATATGATATATAACTAAATTTAAATGATATAAACATAGGAATATAACACACTTTTAATATGGATATTTATTAAATGAGGTTTCTACTCATATGATTTTATGATTATTTGCATATATGTGTAACAAAACTTTACACCAACATATTTTTTTTTTGAATTTGAGATGTTTAGAAGTTTCAATAATTTATAATCATTTAAAAAAAACAATGACATATTTTAAAATTAAAATATTAACTTTTCAATATATGTTCAAGGTAACTATCAAAATATAAATATGTATTTTTCATACGATGTATAGTTTAATTAAAATGATATTAAATATATATAAACTAAAATTATTTCTTCATATGGTCTTATAATCATTATATTATAGTATAGAAAAAAAAATTAAAACCTTGCTCTTAAAAGTTTACGTGGGACTATTAACAGTTTTAGTAATTTATACTCATTTTGAAAAATTCAAAATACAACATACACAAAAAAATCTAGATTTTTATTATATGATTAATGTAATAGTGTAATTTATTTTAATAATAAAGAAATAAACAAAATGAAAAAAAAAGTATACAGATTGTTATCAAATCTTTATTGTTTAAAATCATTAATTGTCAGATATATATTTTGATCACATTAGGTAATTCCGTAGGTTTTATTTAAGGAAAGCATGCGAAACAATAAATATTTGATATATGCGACCAACTATGGCCTACAGAATATTATATTGCTAGAGAATATAATTTTTAAACTATGCATTATATCACATGCTCTAGAATCCTTGGGATTTGAAATAGAAGCCAAAGAGCTATGCCACGTAGGATTGAGGTTATTTTTAATTCTTACAAACTTAAGGTTACAACTTTTTAAATGATTCTCAAATAATATATAGGGGATTACTTCCGCTTAACAAAACTCTGGGAGGAACTAGAAAATCTCAAAACTACTCGATCATGTACGTGTGAAGCCTCTACAGATATAGAGAAAGAAAAAGAGGAGATACATGTCCACAAGTTCCTATTTGGACTTGATGAGTCTCAATTTCGGAACATATGGTCGCAAATCATTGATGAGGATCCTTTACCGATATCAATAACGTTTAGGAGAAACACATCACGTTTTAAGGTGCTGAAAACAGATGCAATTGACTGTCACTCCTAAACAGAGCCTCTTCAGTCTGCAGCTGTAATCACTCGATTTCATGATCCGAATAGAACATGTACTCATTGTTCTCAGAAATGTAATGATATTACCGAGTGCTTTCTCCTTCATGGATACCCAGACTGGCGGTATGAACGGAAGAACACAACCTCTTCAACTGGATTCTTCATATGGCTCGTCTCAGCGAGGAAGAGGAGGTCTCTACACAATGGCAACCGTGGCCGTGGACTAATTCAGCTAGATCTGTCTCACACAACACCACAAAAAAAAATTCTACAAATCAATACACTAATCCGGTTGACCAGATTACTCAGCTTCTACAACTCCAATACTCAAAATCAACAATATCAAGGGAGAAACTTTCGGGTAAACCAACCTTAGAAGATGTCATTACAGATACCGGCACGTCTCACCATATGACAGGAGATATATCTCTACTTACAGATCTGATTGATATCATTACTTCTTCATTTAAATATCCCTAATGGCCGGTGTTCTCAAGCAAATAAAAAGGAACATTAGTTCTCAGCGAACACTACTTTCTTAAAGACGTTTTACACGTTCCAGCTTTTAACTGCAGGCTCATATCCGTGTCGAGATTACTCAAACAGACAGGATGTATTGCTATCTTTACTGATACACTTTTTGTCTTGTGGACCATTTTACGAAGACTCTGACTGGAACGGGTGAAGAACGTGAGGGGATTTACTACTTTACTGGGGTCACAGTTGCACGAGTACATCGAACTGCGTT